AAAGGGAGGCACCGGAACCCTCAATAGTACTGCAGTCGGGGGTCGACATCGAGGCCTTCAAAATAATCCATACCTCCCGACAGCCAAACGCCACAAACAAGTGTTTGAACCATAAGTGCGTTGACATCGGATTATGCCTACCGTCGACTGTAACGCAAACTCTGATATTAACGGCATTTATGCGGCGAACCTAACGGCGCCCGACCGACACTTCCTAATAGTCCGCCACAAAAAATGTGTCATAAAAGACATAAGACTGGATCCGTTGGAATCCCTATTGTTTTGGTCGGAATATGTCAAAGATAAGACTTATTATACTGAGTCGTACGACAAAAGCCAAATAATGAAGGCCTCCCAGGAGGGACAGGGCGTTCAGGTTCTCGTGGGTCCGACACTTGTGGCCAAGAATTCGCTGAATATCGACATAAACGCCAAACGGGTGTATTGGGTGGACAGGGAGACTGCGAACCAACTCGTGTCCGTCGGGTACGACGGGTCCGGTCGGACACTACACCTCTCATCTCATCCCTCCGTCTGTTCACTGATAGCACGCTATCGGCGACCCATATATTCGGGGATTATATCTATTGGACGGACAATAGAAACGATTCAATACTTCAGTCAATATGAGAGACACGAGTGAAGCGCCGGCAGTCGAAGTGGTCGTCCAATCGGGGGTTGATATCAATGCGATGAAGATTTACCACAAGTCTGTCCAACCGTTGGGAACCAATAAATGTGTCCATCGTTTGTGTCCACAACTGTGTCTGCCCTCCAGTTATCACTCGAGGCAATACACGTGCGGTTGTCTACCGTTCCACACATGGGATGGGAATACCTGTGTGTTTACGTGTGTCGAGAAGACGGCTATTTCTAGGGCCTTCATTAATAAGGCTCCCAATTATGCATGGCTTGTATTGGCTGTCATTTCATTGACTATTAATGTAATACTAATCGCTTTAATCGTTTACTTCAAGAGAAAAGTGTGAGTATTGTGTCATTTATTATATTCAAATAAATTGATGAAATAATAACTAATAAAATTTTAATTTGTTTCCATTTGCAGTCCATTGATGTCCAATGTTTTGACAAAATTCAGAAGAGGTAGAGAAGAGGTATACCTTCGAGAGACTGAAATGAATGGCGATTTATGAGTGGATTCTCATCATTTTATTAATAATTATATTTATATTTTTGTTACATAAAGCATATGATAATTCAAAATATATTGTATATTAAGGCACTAAATAACACTACTGTATAAAATTAATAATATATTAAATAACATTTAATTGGATAATATTTTGATGTTTTATTTCCCAGTTTTGCTATTTTGGGACAACTTTTCAAACTTCTCGCGAATACTACTTATATATCCGATCGAGACATTAGACTCAGTATTACGCGATATACTACTCGACACCTTCTTAGGGATGGCACCTATTAATTGTAAACATAATTAAATATACTTGCTCAATTACTATTGATATTAGATTACCTGTATTTGTTGCCGGTTTTATATTTGTATGTTGTGGTGATACTGGATTTACATTGCTTATTTTGTGCATTTTAAATTTATATGTTATAATGTTTTTAATAAACAAATAATCATCAGAATTGTGTTGAGCTATGAATTTATTAAATGCATTAATATTTGAGTCAATAATGTCCTTGTTAAGTGACCATGTATTTTTATTTAATATATCACTGCACTCTGGTCTAAGGTATGAACCGTAGTTAATCATTGAATTAAAAACACCTAGTATATTTTTAATGCTGTCGTGTAGTGATGTGTTTGTATATTTAACCAGTTCAGTTCCACTGAAAAAAATTATTAATGTTTTAAAAATTAAATTATAAATACAATTACTATTTCTATTCAATACTTACTCTAATATAATATCAAACAATTCCATCGAAAGTATACCCGAACTATAAATGTCTGCTTTTGTCGTATACTTTGATTTATCCAATTCTGGGGCCATATATATAAAAGTTCCCACATTTCTGGTGTGACTCTGAGATACCTTCTATTGCTCAACAGCCAAACCAAAGTCGCATAACTTAATAAATCTACCGTTCCTTACATTTTCAGCAATTAATATATTTTCGGTTTTGAGGTCTCTGTGAATGATCTGTGGATTCAATTCATGCAAATACTGAACACTTTCTAAGATTTGTCGCAATATTTCATACAAAATGAAATACTCGACACAATCCATGGCTTCTCCTAATTGTCG